CTTTTAATTATTATTTATTGCATTGAAATAATAAAAATGTACTCCAAGGCGATTGTGGCTTTATTGCCGAATTTCAGTTCATATCACTTATCTATGTTTTTGCTTATTTATTCTCTTTTTCTTTTGATTTTTTAGGATTCGCAAAGACTCTGTTGTTTGATTAGGCTTGGATAATGACAAGGAGGTTATGTTGAATAAATTCTTTTGAATGTCTTATAAAAAATGGGAATCGAGAAACACGCAATGATGTTTTATTAAACGAAAATCCTAAAAAAAAAACTCTTTCACTAAATGTTTGTTACTGTTGCAATTTTCGAAAAACTTTAGAAATAACGAAGGGAAGAGAACTAGAAAATGTTTATTATGTGCACATTTTAATCACGGAAGCAGTTTAAAAGCCAAATTTTTAACAATAATATTTATAAATCATTTCAAAATGAATTTAACAAACTTCTAAAATCAAAGTAAGCGTCCCTAGAATTAAAGAAAAAAAAACAAAAAAAAAAAAAAAAAAAAAACCACAAAACAATCAATTTAGTTTACATAGTTTTTCGATTATAGACGGCAATATAAGGGACACTGTCGGTTAGCTAATAAATTCACGAAAATTATGTTAAATTTAACTAGGAACATGAACCGAATCCTAAACATTTTAAAAACATGCCATTTGTCTGTAAGAAGTTCGAATTTCATTATTGTGGGTTAAATTTGTTTTGATCATTGTTTTTTATATAGAATGCATCGATATGTAAAAGAATCCTTTTAGTCTTAAAAAAAAAAAATGTTTTTCAAAAACTTCTAATTTCTGAACAGTTGCGCTTCTTTTATTTTATACTATAGAAATTATATATTTGTAATAAAAAAAAAAAAAAAAATCTTAATTAAAATTAGAGTTTTTAAAAATATTTCGTTTTTTTTGTTTTTTTAAGTAAGTTTTCGTTTCTCTTTACGGATTAAGTATAAATGTTTAATTAATTCTTTATCGCTGTTTTTAGGCTAATTTTTATTTGCTAAGGTGCTAAGAACTAAAATTATATTAGAATTATATATGAATTTAAAAGCAAAAAAAAAAAAAAAATGCGTTTAAATAAAAATGGATAGCATGTGTAATAATTGTAAAAAATAAGGCGAAAAAATAAAAAAAAAAAACATTTATTGAAATACTTAAACACAAACATAACTACAGTCACAGAGCTGATCCAGAAGGTAAACGTTTTATAGTTTATTAAGTAAAGAACAATTATGAATTATATAAATTATTAACTAATTATAGTCTATAATAGAATGTAACATGTGCAAAACAAAACAAAAAGAAAATAAATAAAAACAAAATTTAGTTTGATAATATTAATGAAATATACAAAAACAAAAATATTCAATATAAACCATATACAATTGTTTTATTATTTTAAATATTTCCAAAAAAAAAAAAAAGCTAAAATTTTAATGTTTTAATAAAATATTTATACATTTTTTGTTTTTTTTTTTATTTTATAATTCATGTTGGTTTTGCTTTTTTTGCAAGCAGTAAAATGAAATTTACGGGTGATATAAAACCATTTATCAAATCAGTGAGCCTTCATAGAATAATGAATAAAGTATATTAGCAGTGTTCAAAGAAGTGGGATCTCAACAGTTATGAAGTGTGACACGTTTTATAAATTTACTGATGGCATTTATATCGGTTAAGTGAAGGCCCTTTAAACTAGGAAAAGGTAAGAAGCTTAGAAAGCGATATGAATATGGAAGTTGAAAAGGAGTCAAATTAATAAAAAGTTTACCGTTTTAAAAGATAAAATATATTATACAATCAAATTCCCATCGAAATATCTCAAAAATTTTCAGCTGTAAGTTAAACAAAAGAAAACAAGACGGACAGACAAGCTTAGATCGATTCAGAACCTGATTCTGATTTACCAATATAATTCAAAGTGAGTCGCTCTGGGTGTTACATCCGTCGGCAGAAAGTTAATATGTATAAAAATACAAAACTAAACTGATCTTATATATAGAGATATGCAAATATAAACCAGCGCATATGATATAATATATGCATAAGTAATTCTATAGTTCTTATATTTTATTTTGTAACATAATTCGTAATATAATCTATGCCCTATATTTTTGTTAACAATTTATTATTATTAGTACTATTATTATTATAATAATTTTCTGCTCTTCTTCTCTTCTTCTTGTCCTGTTTGAATACCACATTGACTTAAACTATTCTTCTTTTCATTTATAAAGTATTTTTCGCGTCACTGTATATCGTATATATATGTACACTCGTATACTGTCTTGCAATCGTTGTTACGACCTCAAAACTTTTTCACAAGAACGTAATTCTGATCTCAAAGGTTTTTTTTTATCCCTTTCCTAATGTAAAATTCGAAAATTGTCAAGATCTAATTATCAATCTGCAAAAAAAAAAAAGAAGAAATCTCTTCTCCTAGGTTAGAATTTCAGTATTATGGGGTTTTTGGAAATCGAGGGTTAATTAATGTTGAATTTAAATTCTAAATTAATCGAAACTGAGCAAAGTATTCACGAATAATTCCCAAAGCAAAATAGATGTAATGGAGGCGAGGTATTTGAACACATATTTTAGTTTGCGTCAGTTATATAAAAGTGTTAGATCGAGAGAACAGATTTTCGGTTTTATTTGAAATTACAAATTTCATGTACAAACACTAGTGATAAATATTAAATAATTCAGATTAGATGGAATGTAATTCCTTTCGTGACTACATATTTATTGATAATTTGTATTTATATCTTAATAATGCAAATAAGTGCAAATGGAAAGACTGATGTCATTATTAAAATGTAATTTAAATGTAAATGAAAATAGTTTATATCCCTATCAATTGCATACGATCCAAATGGATCAAATATGCGAGACGACAACGGAAGCGAAAACTTAAAGAAAGCCTCGACGCGCAAGTTGTATATAATTATTCTGCCGCTATTGCTGGTGCGGCTGGTTTTGATGTTGTTAGCACTTAATAATAAAATTGATGCAAGAAATAAAGAGTAACAAAAATTTTGATATCAATAGCAACGCACATTTAAGCTCACATCGGTATATTATTATCGAACAAATAAATAAATGAAATGCACACATAGAAAGAAGTGATGGCTCTCTCTCTGCATTAACTAACAACACTTTTTTACTCGCCTGTCGTTCGCAAACAAGACGTCCTCTGTTTTCACAAGATTCGGTCTGCGTTAAAATCAAATGAAAACCATAATCAAACCAAACAGTTTATATGAGATCATGAATAAGAGAGGAGCACGAATGACCGAGTTCGGTTGCGAATTTCATTTTCAAAGAGAAACTGATGGACAAAAATAAAACAATAATAATAATAATAATAATAAAAAATTTAAAAAAAAAAAAAAAAAAAAGAAAACATTTAAAACAAACAGTGTTTTCATAAAATGAGATGAAAAAGTAATTGAAAGTGTTACGAGATAAATTAACAGTCTATGATCAAATAAATGCACATATGTACGTTTGTGTATTTATGTACGTTTCGCATACGCAAACATTATTGTAATTGCTTATGTGTTTGGTGTAATTTTTAAAAAATAAAAGTATTCGAAAATTACAAAACTTGTACTTAAATATATATATATATATATATATATATATATATATATATAAATATAGAAAAGAGTAACGATCCCAGTCATTTTATCAATCAAGAGATATCAATCAACTATAAATGCAATTGTTATCAATAAAAGTAAATTGTCGCTACATATATATCCGAATAGCAAATAAATGAGCGGCAAAACTGTTAAATAAAAACCGGAAATCTTACGTTCAAACATCACGCACGCATACCAATCAGGAGCATATATAGCTTTCTTCATTATACTCAGACTACCGTAGTAATAATAATAATAATAATAATAATAACAATGAAATTTGAATAACATGTGATTACAATGTAATTACAATGTTGCCGAATTGACATTGGTAATGTACTTAAAAAAGATCAAAGCAACGATTGGGCGTCCTATTAAACATATAACATATATATATTTCTGCACTTTGCATTTGGAAAACAAATTCTGGTAAGAGGGTTAAGGTTATAAAATGTAAATTTAAATAAACCGGTTATGGCTTAAAAAAAAAAAAACACATATACATATGTATATATATAAATATGGATATATATATATATATATATTTATATACATGAAACATTAAATTATAAAAGAAAATCGTATTTTCTTGTTAGGTTATTTATTTATTTATTTATTTTTTATTTTTGCTTTCTCTCTTATTCGTTTATATACAGACACAAGTGAATGAAAAACGAAATTTACCTCTTTTTCTTTTATGCAACGTCTACTTCGTAGTCTTTTATTGTTAGTACATTTCGCTTAATTCCTCATAAACACTAATAAACACTGTCTGCAGTACTTCAAATATGCCATCATATACATTACTATAATTAAGGTAAATGTAGCCAAAAAAAAAAAAAAAAAAAAAAAAACAAATAAATACATTATAATTATACAAAGCCCGCCATTAAATACCCTACATGACTTTGCCTAATAAAATATATATGTGCTTTACTCCTTTTCATACACATACATATACATATACTAAAAATCATACCTTAGTACCATTTGAATGCCAATTTTGGTAATCTTGTTAATCTTCCTTTATTTTCGATATGAAATACCCAAAATTAGATCGTATTATCATAAAGAGGCTGGCTTTTCTAAAAGGTCCCTACAAGCTGATTTATGCAATTCAAATGCACAATAGGAAATTTTTATGCCAAATCTCTATTCGGGGCCAAATTCCATCATAAAATTCATAAGATTTGATTTTGCTTTCATATCAAGGCTTACTTTCCAAAATATTATTTTCTACCAATTTTTGCCGACAAAAATACTAAATATTGCAATTGTTTTCATATAAAGGCTTTTTTTTTTCAAATGCGAACGTTATATGGGCAGAAGTCGTAAAACGGATGCGATATAATCTATTTACAACAGAGGTCGTCCTTGGACCAAAACATTTCAGTGTACTGGTTACGCGACATTCATGAAGAATAAAAAGGAGATAGAAGAGATAAAGTAAGGTCAACCGCCTATCAGCCAGTCTACCTATTAAACTATAGTAAGGTCCAGCAAAGGTCCAGCACGGCATTGTTAATAAGTGGTCAAATATCATTTTAAAATGTTCTAGTTTATATTTGAAATGTACTCGATTTTCGCTATACACACCTATAGTCATTTTGTCAGCACAAAATACCATTTTAAAGCTGCAAACAAAGGGCAATCAGGTGAAAATTGAGGGCGCCGGCGATATGTTAAGTTCGAAAACGCTGGCCGGATTCTGTGTAATGTTTTTTTCATTACCAATTGATTTTTATGCAAGCACTTGTGAGATTATTCAGCGTATGCAAGATATCTGTAACGCGTCTTTACGAGTACGTTCGAGAAATCAGATACAAAATCGGCGGACTGCGGTCATGTCAGCTGATCGGATTCATTATATCATGCGCCACTTATGATAAAGAGCATATTAAGCTTGTGCTGATGTTTGTAACACCGAGGAGCGTCTGAGACAGACCCGCCTTTTATTGTATCGAGCTTCTTTGTTCGTGACTTTGTCTGCCCGTCTGATGTCCTTTCGTGTATATTTGTGTACAATCTGCAGGTGGCAGTTTCTAAGATATTTTGGTGAAATTCGGTACACTGACGTGCTTTGGCCCGCGGACAAACGCTATCGAAAATAGTACGGATGGGACCAGTTTTTCGACAACTCCCTACAAAAAGCCTTATTTTGAAAAGTCGTTATATGAAAAAAAATTTCTTGAAAAAAATCGTTGAGTAATAGTACTACGGCATTGTTAATTGGTGCGGAAAATTTGCAACGGATGGAGTAGTTTTTTAAAGCCCATATAACTCTCATATAACATCTCTCATAGTTTCTATGAAAACTGAATCTTTATTAGGCAAAAAGATTAAATTGCCAATATTTCTTGGTTGGAAATAGTAATTTCACATAGAAATCAACCTTACCGAAATTGGACCATGTAGGTCTATTGTTTAGATTCCACCTCATATAAGCATTCTTACGAAATGTAAATGGCATTTATGCCAAAAATGCTCAGTTGTTAATATTTTATGATGGAAATTTGTCCACAATAGTAATTTCACGTAAGAATTAACTGAACTAAATTTGAACCACATGGATATATCTCTTAGACCCAATTCCTCTCGTGAATAGTAAGTCGTTTAGAAAAAGTTTTAATTTTTCATGGTTTATAGGACGAAAATTGATTCGTAGTTGCAGTTTAACAAAAAAAAACAAGTGAAAACGTTAAAGATGGGCTAGGTCGACTGTTAAATACTCTACAGTACATAACACTTACTATTATGGTACTCTATATTAAGTTAAGTTAAAGACCTTTGCAAACAAAGTCTTACTTTGCGGAAGAATGGTTGCGCTCGGGAGGTTCAAAAATTGTGTTACATGTACAAAATTCAGCACAGTTAATTTTTATATCAAATTACTATTATAGATTAATCTTCATCAGAACATTATTATTATAATTATTATTTTGTATGATTTTTGGTATATTATTACAAAAGCGAGTGAATAGCTAGGTTAAGTAGGGTAGATTATGCAGGGTTCTGTCCGACGATAATATTCTTGTACTAATTTTTTAGAGGATTCTAATAAATCTTTGAAAAACTTGTCTGCTAATATCCTTTCGTTATTAATGATATTTGGAAATTTTAGTGTTTTTTCGGCATTTCGGCATAGTTTTCTATTTAGCAAGTGTTTCTTATCAAGGCAATGCCAATTTTTTAAAGCCACTTTATCGGAGAATATATGGATCTAATTTCACTGCCCTATTCTGGTTTTTCGTTTTGAAGAAATTTAAAAACAACCATCAGACTAGGGAACATGAATAGCTTTCATATATACAATTAAAGTTGATGGGTATCTAAGATTTGAAAGTTCTAAATAAGGTAGTAGTTTTTCTACTTGCTTTATTTTCCTTTATTTTTTCTTAATATTTAATAACGCTGATAGTGTCAATCTTTGGCTTACTTCATATACATACGTATACGTGTATATATATATGCATACATACATACATACATACATACATAAATACATACACACATACACATATATATGTTATCAGCAGAGTAAAACTATAGCATAATTTGTATTTGTGTATGTGTATCAACTTTGCTTATCTTACAAAGGATTGCATGAAGAAAAATAAACATTCATTGGTTGACTTTCTGTGATTAACCTTTTACTTTACTTAAATAATTTTCAATTTTCAAAAGAGTATTTGCTTTGTCTTTTTAAATAAAGCAAGTGAAGAGACTTTATAGCGTCGCGACGCACTATAAAATACCCTACCGCACCACCCTACAGTTATTCATATAGGACTAAGGACTATTTAACAATAAAGCGAGAGTGGTCGAAAAAGTGGTCCGATCTGAAGCATCTTCAATAAGGTTTGTCTGCGGGCCAAAGCACATCACTGTACCAAACTTCATCAAAATATCTCAAAAATTGCGGCCTGTGAGTTGAGCACAAGAATACGAGATTGACGAACGGGCACACAAACTTAGATCATCTCGATCGTTAATAAAAGGTGAGTCTATCTCAAATGCTTCCTGAAGTTGTTGCCTACACCCTCACAAACTTAATATACCTGCATACATAAGTGGCGTAGAGTATAAGAAAACAAGTAAAGAAATTACATCCGCTTTAGAGTCACATATCCAACTATTTAGATTTAAATTATTTATCAAATTAAATGAAGTTATGGTATTCATCATAGATAAGTTTATTACGTTTACAGCCTTACATGGAGAATGGATCCGGATCCATATTCTTCTTCCTGGCGTTTTTCTCAACAGATAGTTTTAGAGGGACATAAATTTGGTAACACGAATCGTATCAAGCTGTACCAAGGCTTGTTTAAAAACACTGAGGGCAAAGTAAATCGGTGATGATTAGTTAATTCAGTCGAAAGTAACTGCATTTTGAGAATTCCCTTATTTTTCCAACGGATATAAAATGAGACACTTTCATAACATGAAAACAGTAACCACGTGCCGATGTTAATCTTTACGTTTTTTTATTTAAATGAAATTTTAAATGTCGCAACCAATGACAGATCTAGCAGAGGTGAGCAAATTCCGGGCGACAACCAGTTTCAGCAAGATTTTCGTTGATTGATCCACTAGTTTCTGAAATCGTAAGTTAGCAGCATTTCTTAATATTGGAAATTTTCAAGTTACTCCGCAAGTGTTTACTCAAGTGTTTCTCAAATTTCTCAAATATCTCTTTATTTATTAACGGTAATGATTTTCAGAGATATTTTGAAGTCGTAAAGCATAAAAAAACAGATCAGCCCTGGTTGACTATACCGCACAAGTTGTCCACTTTTAAGTTCTTCCACGATTTTAAAAACTTGTCTAAAAAGAAATGTGCATATATGAATTTTACAATCAGTGGCAACTGCTGCCTTCATCGAGAATGCTTTTAATACCTGCAATGTAAGGGGACTAACGGCACGCGGCTACTGACTTCCCGTTTTGAACGAAAAAGAAAAAGACGAACGGGCGATCTAATTTATCCGCCCTATAAAATCACCGATAAAGTTGTAATAGGCAACAACAACAAGAACAAGATGAGAAAGACACAAAAAGAGAGAAAAGAGAGAAACATATCAAAAATCGTCTAAGATAAGGGACAATTGAACAATAACAGTGCCGTAAACCGCAAATGGGACTCTATAATATGTTCTAATGGAGTAAGTGGACGCATCGTTTTCGGTAAAATATCACAGTGAAGTGTTACTTTAATATTTTTTCAAATTTATTCCAAGCAAGCCAGCGGAAAAACTTAAGCAATTTAATAATATATGTAAATAAATTGTGTACTTTTTGACATTACGTTCCAGTTTTGATAAATTTTGCCGATGAATAAACTCCAAGTGGAAATATGGACTGCGTGCGTAAGATACGGCATTTTTTTACTGTACAGAAAATACCAGGCGAATTGGACGATGGCTTAGAAACATTAGATGAGTATCGCATGCGTTGGCGTTCCGTGCGTATTATTTATTTTACTATGTTTCTTATGTCATTGGGTTTTAGTATAATATTAACAGGGATTTGGCCTTTTTTAAATAAGGTAAGAGCTAATCGTCAAAAAACTATGCAAATCGGTTCGTTTACAACATCATTTTGTTCTTAGTTAGACCCAGCGGCTAACAAAGAGTTTATGGGTCTTATAGTAGCCGCCAATCCATTGGGTCAAATGATTTTTAGTCCACTGTTTGGCTGGTGGAGTAATAAATTGGGTACAATACGTTTGCCGTTGCTCAGCTCTTTGGCGTTATTTACAATAGCCAGTGCCATGTATTCATCATTGGAGTTAAAGCCGCACGATGTTAAATACTGGATGTTGACATCAAGATTTCTAATTGGTGTAAGTTCTGCCAATATAGCGGTTTGCCGCGCTTATTTATCGGCTGCTACACGTTTAAGTGAACGCACAAAAGCCGTATCTATGGTATCATTGGCACAAGTATTAGGTTTTATAGTTGGACCCGGTTTGCAAGCGTTAGTCACTTTACTCGGTAGTGAAGGTCACACATGGCTTTGGGGCTTCTTTATTTTCAACATGTACACAGCCTGCGGATGGATTAATGTACTGATGAGCACTGGTAACTTTATAATGTTTCTGCCGACGATATTCCAGGTAGGTAAAGGAAAACGAAGTCAAAGAACAAAACACCTGACTATTGTTTGGATATATTCGATCCTATCAAGGAGCGCAAGGTCGCAGCTCGTGAAATCATGATTATGAAAGGAAAAAGTTCAGAAGAGGAGACGTGGAAGTCCATCAAGCCAGATTATATCTCCGCCTGGACTTTAATAGTAGCGTTTTTCGTATTGGTTTTCAATTTTGTTTTACTAGAAACGTAAGTTTCATGTCAAAAATACGTTAATTAAGATACACATCATATTTTGCAAATAATTTTCAAGGTTGGGTACTTCCTTAACCATGGATCAATTTGCTTGGTCGAACGATGAGGCAATTTATTATATGGGCATAATTATGTCTACGGGCGCTGTCATCGCTTTAGTTACATTTATGTGTATAAATCCTTTGTGCAGGATTTTTCCCGAAAATCTTGTCTTGATATGGGGCGGTTTTGCGCTTATGGTTCTGGGTCGTATACTCTATATACCATGGGGTGATGCACCACCAAAAATTGCCGAAGTCTACAATGTTACTATACCGATAACCGGCAATGCTACCACCGATTTAAAGCCTGATAATGAGATATTTTTAGGTTGTCCCAAAACGCAGCAATGGTGCTCCCTTACGCCAGCATTAACGTTAACGCAGTTTATATTGGGGTACGTGTTAACTTCAGTTGGCTATCCCATCGGCGTTACTTTGATACAAACAATATTCTCCAAAATTCTGGGTCCTCGTCCTCAAGGTGTATGGATGGGCCTTATGACTGGTTCAGGGTGTCTATCGCGTGTTATGGGTCCAGTTTTTGTTGGCTCAATTTACACACGTTTGGGCACTAATTGGACTTTTGGCTTTACCTCAGTAATGATGTTCTTTTCAATGATTTGGTTATTACTATCCAGGTAGTCATTAAACATTTTTTCCCCATAATTCATATTATAAGTTTGTAAATTGTTTTCCATCGTTTAGGAAACGTTTAATATCTCCTCGCCTTGATATTCCTGATCCTGTTGAATTGCAAACATTTGAGAAAAATGTCGGTATTAACTCTCAATTCACTTTACCGGATTCAGATATGAAAGATTTGAAAGATGATAAAATTGCTTCGGAGAATGATCTGAATTCGGAAGGAACTGAACTATTAAGTAGCCAAAAACCACTTAATATATTAACGGCGGCAACAAAAGCTTAAGATATATTTACATACTTTTACTATATTTTTTATATTTGATTAAAGGATCAGAACTGCCTTTACCTTTATCCACGTAAAAATAAGAACATGTGATGATAATTTTTTAGTCAATAAATGAAAAAACTTTTATTATACTTGGGTTCTTAATAGGTCTACCATATGTATATACTTTGTTAATTGATATGAAATGAGTTTGCACACAGACACACATACGCACACATATATGTATATATATATATATATCTAAGAAAAAAGGCTTGATTTGGTTTATAATCAAATTTTTACCGCTAACCAAAATGCGCAAAGTGGTTATAGTTTTCGAATTGCTTTGAAAATACGGATTGTATGCCTAAATACTCAGCAAAAATGTTGTAAATACAAACAAGAAAATTATAATGGACCGTTCCCAAGCCCTCTGTAATTATCGACTTTATATTAAAATTAATATGCTATTTTTTACTGTTGCAGTTTACGAGTCACAGGACGATGCACGGACGAACGGGTAAACATGCTTAGATGGAGTCAAAATTTGATACTGGTTAATGATTATATATCATTTGTAGAATCACCGAAGTTCCTTTAAGATTGCTGTAAAAGAAATCAACTCTCGATACTGTGTAACGGTGGATGAGCGTCATCGACTTTTCTATTTATATGCAGATATTGGAGGATATGCTACAGAGTACGTGTGAGAGTTTTTATAGTTGTATCGGTTATTTTCTATAGCCAGCGAACAAAAATGTCCACATTTCCGTTATTTCATCAGAGACTCGCAAGCATACATATGTACGTCGCCGCATCTCGCGCTACGACATTCTTATTGCGCTATGTCATTTCGAAATCATTTGGAATCAAAAAAAAACGCGGATTGTCAAAACTTCGAGAATATATTTGGAAAAGTTGGAGAAGATCGCAAAAAGATGATGGTTATGTGACGGACGTGATAACGTGTAAAGCATATACATAATGAAAGTAAGCGTCAACTTTATTAAGGTTCAAGCAAAGAACTTCGTATTTGCAATCAACATGTTTTACTGGGAAGCGAAACTATTTGAACCTTCGAAAGATCATAGACGTGCTGAAACCCTCAACTTTTCGTTGTGCTCCCTGTAAACGGTAACTGTTTAGTTTATTAGAGCAGCTACTCGATAAAGAAAGATTTAACGGGCTTTTTTCTCGGAAAGTTAAGAGGAGTAGTTTTCTTCTCCCATTAGGTCCTCCATCGTGGAGACCATCAAACTTATTCAAGTTCTTCTGGTACTACGAGGTGTTAGAGAGCTGGGACACAGTTGGGTGCACCGACGTCTTCGGAAATATCATGGGATGTGTGAAAAGTAATACCCAAAATTGTATAGTATGATGTAAATCCAAAGGACGACAAGTCATGAAATTGTGGGTGTTGGCAGAGATCAGGTCGCTTAAAGTAGGTCTTGGTATGACGATACATTTCGCATCAGACTACCGGGATGAACGCCTTCTTGCGTGATTGGTAGGTATTGTGATGTCTACGGTTACCTAGAAATTTTGTAAGGACATTTAGCAATGAAATGGTAGATAAGCCTGAAGCATTCATCTTGACAAGATTTCACTTTGGTTGAATAAATGCTGAAAAATCTACGGATACTACGTTTACGTTAAATAATTGTTCCAAACTAAAAAACCCTATTTGCTAATTCATCTGGAATCCCAATTTAATCTAAGAAATTTTATACCAGAGTATCTTCTAACCTATTTGGACCTACGACATTCAAGTGTGGAGAGCAGCCAGTCAACTATGCAATGGAACAAATCAATGCCGTCCATCTGCAGCGGATGTAGTAGTGCCAATAAGCACAAAGGAAGGGCTGGCGGCGTAATTGCAGCCGCTGCTTCCACTCTTGTAGTGGTTAACCCAACTTCCGTACCCAACCAAATCGGGTCAGCTTTGAGCTTAAATATTCCAAGGTGAATGTCATTGTTTGCAGACACTGTGGTCAAAGTGGCCACAGATACCGTACGTTTGCGAGCGGCACATACTGCAGAAGTAATATATTACAATGTGACTGTAAGCGCAGTTATCATGGGATCTGCGGGTGCGGTCACTATATGCATGAGTTAGGTAATGGATTTACTATGGCACGGAAACCCTGCGAGTTCGGGGAAAGCTACAAGGCTTGCCAAAAACCATGCGAACAATTCTTGACGCCAGCAGCCATCCCGCTGTTATTGCGAATGATATGAATGAAGGAGGCAACACTTGTCAATGCCAGTGGCGACGGTGACTGTGTATCCATTGAACGAGGGTTTGCTACTTGCAGGCCTTTGTTGCAACTTTAACCCGGAACTGGATGATCATCTTACGTATATAGATTTGTTGTTATTGCTTGCTGGTAACCATTTTATATGCTGCCTCTAAATATTGGGTTGGTACCCCCTGCGACGCCCTTGAAAGAGTATAAAATGGGGTATGCGATCTCGAAAGTTAGATCAAAAAGATGCCCAGACATTGATTCCAAATAACTTTACCCATCTCGCCGGTTATTTCGGTATTATTCCCATTATCTTTCACAAGACTACTTCCCGCTATGAAGGAAAGTAACCAGGGTTATAGTTCTCCTACACTGCTGGTCGCTCTCCTTCCTGCTTTAAAATTTTTGCTGACAAAATTAATAATTTCAACATTCTAAGAACTGGTGTGCCTAGCTTACTCAAAGTTCCTCTTAGTTCTCAAGATTTTCGACAAGTTATTAAATTCTTACCAGTGAGAATCCATAATTATTCCGGCAGAAGCGTATCACCGCTACTCAAACTTGGTCAATATCAAATGAAAGCATTTTTCACTTATCTTTAGTGATGAATTTAGGACCGATGTTTTAGGCAACGGCTTTTGGTTTCCCAATATTAAAATCGGAGTTTACTTCTCAAATCATACATGTACCACTATATTTTCGACTGAATGTCTTGCGATCCTGTAACCGCTTATCGAGTACTCAGCCTCAAAAGAAATTCTTTATAGTATCAGTCAGTAAATCTGTCTTGTACGCTTTACAATCATTTCCGTCAGGTAAAAGTCACCCTTATAAATTAGAAATGAGACTTTATAGTCTCAAATCTGCTACATTTCGTTTCCACTTACTCTGGGTGCCCAGTCACATGCGCATTCTTAGCAACAACACTGCAGATGAAATTGCGTCTTCCAGGCCATCTCATTTTAATGACTGTGTTCTAATTCCTGCAGATATGAGGGCAATCGACAAAAAGCAGTCAGTTCTTTCTTGGCAACAGCGATGGAATAATTCACCTTATGCTCGTCGCTTACACTACGCATTCCCACAAATAAATAAAGCCCCCTGGTTTATCTATTGCGGACTCAGTCGTGACATTTTTTGTTTTATTAACACACTAACGTTTAATCACACGAGACGTAATGGTAATCTACTTAAAATTAACATAATAAGCACTCCTTCATGTACATGGGTAGTCTTGCTATCTCCTGATCATATCCTATTTGGTTGTCCGAATTTTGACCACTTTTGTTCGCCATTCCGCACGACGCAAATTGGGTATATGTGGTCTTCGTGACGGCAGCATTCTTGACATTTTACGTTGTCACAATTCAACAGCGTACTTCGCAATGTTTTCGTATTTTACATAATCTTATTAAGCATTAAGTGTCAATTTATGAAATTACACTTTTTTATCCTCGCATCAATACCTTGATATAACTTTTTATATTCATATACCACATTATATCTTACACGTAGGAATTTACTCCTCGCTATAAAAAAAAGAAAAATAACGTGGCGGAATTGTAACACGCAAAAACTAAACAACATTAAAATAAATAAATAATATTATGTTACAAGTCTAACCCCAACTTTACTAAGGCCTAAACGAAGAACTCTGTGTCCAGATTGAGCATTTTTTACACATTGCAGCAAATTTTCGTTTGTTAATTTGCTGAATAGCAGAAGAAGAAGGAGCATTTAAACGAAAACATTTAGCAAAATAAAAGATGAACGAAGTTGTCCATGGTGAAGCCTCAGAATCAGAAGATGAAGCCTTAAATATTAACCAAACAAAAGTGACTATATTCATTTAACCCATACATTTTGGAAAATTTACATCTTTTCTTCTATTTTAGATAATTTTGGCTTCAGAGGTCACGGGTGAAGCTTCTGAATCAGATGAAGGTGAATATAAAAAAGAGGAAGTTTAAGAATTTGATTATTATCTTGCTATTTACCAGATGTTTATGATAAAAATTTGAACACAGCAGCTGGGAACGACGCCAATATAGATTGTTTGTATAAAAATAATTTACTACAAAGAAAATTAAGTAATTGATATTAAATTTTTTTTTTTTCAATTCGTTAATTTCCCCTCTTCTAACAACTTTCAGTAGAGACCAATGTTTGCATGTGGCGTAGTTTAAATAACTTTGTTAAGAGTTTGGTGACTACGGCCTCAAAACAGTTGCTTAATACTGATCAATTACTTATTAAATCTCAAGTGACAATGCAAGCAGTGCAGTCGTCATTAAAAGTGGCTCAGAATAATATGAAACAATTACACGATAAATGTGATGATGTATTTACAGCAAATTTTATCCCCAATATAAAAGTTGAGCAATAAGAAAATATTACATTAATGAAAGTTTCGTTTATAAACATATCAAAGCAATAATTCTTTCATTATAATTAAAATATCTTAATCTTCGGTATCAGAATTCGGAACATATACTTGACTATTAGGTGAGGGCTCCTTGAGTACATACGTGTTTTCAAAGCACCGAGTAAATACCCGACGCAATTTCGAAGTTTCCGTCCGTTGTGGTGACTGCGCTATTACTTCATCCTCGCCATCTTTCTCTCGTGACGTCATATCCGGAGCAATATCAATGCTTTCAAACGTAACAGAATTTTTCTTACTTAAGGCAAGGCCTTCTTCATTACTGTCGTCGTTTCCTACACCTGACTGTGTGCAATTTCTGGCATAACTCGTTGAGAAATCTGATAGACCTTTGCCATTATCAAACTGGAATAATGCCGTCGCATTACTTAAACTATACACTTCCGATAGTGCGCGCTTGGGAGTTTGAGTGTTCGTAGTTCTTCCACAGTCGCTATGTTTCCGTTTATTAGACGCAGGTGTTTTTACTGTTACAGACATGCGTTCATTTATTTCTGTCTCTCTTAATTCCTCATAAATGCTAACATCATCAACATATAGGGTAGACATAATAAGATTACATTCAATTAAATCGACTTTTTTAATTGTCATAATAACGGGATCACCAGCACTTTCGAAATGTAAACTTATATTTTCTCCCAGTGATTCGGCAAAAGAAAGGAAAGAACGAAATTCTTTTAGTGAAAAAGTAATGGCAGTTTCCTGAGCGATATTATAATTTTCAAATTCAACAGGGCTATGAGAATATAGAAAAGCAAATTTACATTTTTCAGTAACTGCTTCCTTGCTTAGCCTTACCTTAATTTTAACTGAGAACGCATAAATCTATCGTTGACACGGGAGCCTTCAATATAATTTTTGGCCGTCAAGCCATTACTATTTACTTCGAATGTAACCTCGGCTTCCGCAGTATTAAAATTGTTTGATATATCATTAAATAACTTGTAAGAACCGACAAGTCTAGCAAAAATGCAGAATTAAAATAACGTGAAAAAGGGATGATTGCATACTTACAAATTACTTGCCTCCTCTATAGATACCGGTGTTGAAATATTCTCCTCATCCACTATGGCTATAAGTGCATTCTTTAAAGTTTCCAGGCGACAACTGAATTGTATTTGTAATTTTGCTGGCTCCGGCAATATACATATGTTACAACGTTCCACTTGTTGCATATTTTTAAAAATCGCCAAAGCTGCTTTCATACCAATTTTGCAATAGTTTTCATTGTCTTCGAGAACATTATAGCTTTCAAAGAATGTCCGTTTAAAACGGAAGGTTCCCATCGCAGACTTGGACGAGTTGAACGAACGCAATTGCAAGCCTTGGGCGTCTGCTTCTATATAAAGTTCGCTTCCAAATTTAGCCAATGACTGTATCGATTTTGCGATAGCTATACAAGGCGTAGTGACTATTATTTAAGCACATAAAAGGAAAAAGTGTAAGTCTTTCTATACAACTTACTTTTGGCATTTGCGCCGCTCAAAGAGCATTTCATTTGTTTATTTTAAAATCTTTTATTCTCAAAATCATGAAAAATCTTTTAAGGAAGCAATTGCTTCAATACGTCTTTGCTTTCAGTGTGTCCAAAGTATTATATCCGGAGTTAAATTTTTAATTTTTCAATACAATAAATATGAAAATTATAGCAACACTGTGAAATCCTGCAATTCTGCATAAACCCGCAAATTTGCATCACCATTACAAAAATTCACAGTACTCAAATACCTCTTTTATTATACGCTTAAGGCTTACTTAGTCAATCGGGCATTGCGATACAACAATGTATATATCGTAATCCATCATAGTGATTTGGTATCGTAAATTCGTTAGAAAAAATCTCGCTTATTCGTAGTGAATCTGAACGAAAACAGGTTTTACCTTTTTACTTAACTCATTTCACTCTATATTCATTTAAAGAAACTTTTATTATTAATTATTATTATTATAAATTTAGCCAGAGAATAAATTCTAAAGCTAAAGTCTTAAAGCACTAGCATCTAAGGCTTTCGGCTTTTATTAAAAACTCTACCGCACTTGAGATTTGAACCCACGACCATTGAGAGTTGCCAGTCGAGACTTTTGCCTACTCGGCCACTCAGGCGGATTTAAAGAAACTTTAAATTTAGCAAGAGTATAAAAAGATGTTCAAAGAACCTTAGAGCTAACATGTGTGGGGAATATTCGGTTTAGTGAAAGACGAAATAAAATGTAAACATGAGAATTTTTATTTATATTTATCCTGCACGTGCTATTGTTGTTTTCAAAAATTCTACAATTTTTAAAAATGTGTTTTCAAATTGAACAAACCGTTATTTTGAAATAGCTACTATGGAAGCAATTGGCGTCTTACTAGACTTAATAAAATTATTTGCTGTAATTAAGTGAAACTAAACATAGTGTACGCATCGGTTTACTAATACGATCCCTGTTAGCAATGAAATTTTAATTTCAGGTTATTCCCAATTTATTCCACCATTTTCCCCCCAATTTCAAATAAATAATAAAATTTTGGAACAAATTTGTAGGAAGATTTGACGAATATGTATACCTATATAGGTGGTAAGTTCTGCGAAACATGTTCACAGGATCGAGAAGTTATAAACGAAACTATGGGAAAATTATTGTTTCTCATTTATGGGCAGATTGCAGCCATTTTTTTAGCATTGAACTGTTAATCGACAAAAAAATGGTTATGTCAAATTTCAGTTTCCTCCCTTCATTTTTACGGATGTGATGAGTCAACAAAAAAAGGGCAATCAAAATGATTCCTTTGGTAGACATAGATACATACAAAACGTCGGCAGTTCTAGAATTGAAGATATTTTAGGTAAAAAATGTAATTTGTTATATAGCGAAAGATAGTTGGGCGTTTACCATTATTTAAATATATATAAAATGAAAATGAAAATAGATACAAGAAATTAATCAATAATATTCTGTAAAGAGTGATCATTTTTTATCAAAATACGACCGCTCGGTACCTGAAAAAGGTACAACGCATGGAGAAATCAAAAAAAGTAGCCATTTAAGGCACTCACATACCGAAAACCTCTGGAAACACTCTAACAGGAACAGTTATAATCAAAAATACAAGAAAAGATGGCCGACGAAGATATCAATTTTGCTAAATTTGAACCACATTAGCAAGTTTTTGGTCGTCGCTTAATTAGGGATCTTATGGAAAGTATTCCTCTGCATGGAATAAGTTGTAAATATTTGGTATCTTATCATAAAATTCAAAGGCAATAAACTTCGTAGAGCTAAACCGACTGATTTTGAAATGTAAACTTTTAGGATTGATTTAAAATAAGTCAAGGAAAATCCGAACGTTCTAGGTTTAATTTAACTTAATTGCTTGTCAATCCTGGCTACGACCACTGAAAAAGGTATTCTTAGTTTAGAAAACTTCTGTGCAATTTTTGTAAGAAGTTTATCTGCTCCATATATACACAGATTAAAAAATTATTTCATTTAATGTTTTAATTTTCATTAATTATAATTTATTTTATTTATTTCTTTAATATATTTGTTTTCGAACAATAATAACCAGGCTCAAGGTCAATTTTGAATATTACAAATATTTGCGGGTCATTCTTATTTGCGGATGAGATTCTTCCTTTTAGCACTTATAGTAGCAATTGTGATGGGCTTTTAGAATTGTTATTGGCGAATATTCTAGTCATCAACCTATCTAAATCAAAACTAATGTTTTATGGTAATATTAATCATCCCCATGTGGATATCCTTATTGGTGACAACGTAGACAACAATAGATACTTGTTGACTTTCTTAAGTGCTTACACACATATATTGACCATCGTCTCATTTTTGAGAAGCACATAGATTCCATACATAGAAAAATTGTAGTAACCTAGCGAACTATTTATTTTAAGATGTTTTATTCACCACAATTGGTCCAATATAAACTAGCCTACGGTCTTCTAACGCCGCAGATGCTATACGGCTTACAATTTTTTTTGTATTTCCCTTATAGTACAACTTATGCTCTACTTTTTAATTCATAATCCTTATACTTAATATAGTATTTATCTTTATGCACTCATGTACTGGCCTACATCCACAGGCCATCGAAGGGGCTTCATGTAGTGCGCGCCAATTGAATTAAATAAATAATATAATATACTTTATGAGATCTAAATTAAAGTGCCCAGTTTATTAAAAGCTGCCTCTTGGAAATTTTTTGTTATAAGCATTTTCTTTCTCCGATACTTCCGAACCATCTAAAAAAAAGCAAAGAATAAAAAAATAGTTAACAAATTAGGCAAAAAAAGGGGAAAATATAATTTGATTTAGAATTTTAATCAGTTAGAAAAAATGTTTTACATGTTTCATTCAAATGAACTATACTACAGGATAATTAATCATCATTTATTGGATATAGAATAATCAAATTGGCTTAGAAACGAGAAAAACTTACCTGTTAATCGAGCAGGAAGATAGAATAAAATCCCCAAGTTACACTCTGTAAATAAAAATGAAATATTATTAACATCTTAGATATGGGAAACACAGGGTCTTTGGACAAATTATTTCATCTTTTGGTTAAATTAAAATGCGAAAATCAACACAGGTTATTCTAATCGAAATGATCACCACGTTTGAAAACAAAAAAAAAAAATGTATATATTCGCCACTAATTATAAAATTTTTGAAGTCTCTCTAATCAATTCAGAGACGAACATAATAAATTGTTCGAAACGAACGAACATACGACTTGATTTGCACTAAATAAAGTTTTATTAATTTATGACAAATCAATTCTATAATGACTGCAAGGTACTTGCGCAAAAAAAGAAAATGTCCAAACATGAATAAATGAAGAGAGCTTACCTTGGATTTATGCACCTCAAACTTTTCATCCAGACTCTATTAAGCTAGAAACAAAAGAAGTAAAGACGGAACATTTAGACCTGTGCACTGTTTTTATTATAGTTTGAAGCTATTTTTAAATAAATTTATTGGAATCAGCAATGTGACGTAACAGCATGGTTTATAAAATTGGGTTCACTCAGAAGAGGGATCCTGACAATAGGCATAAATCATCACTTCCACCTTTTTTTTTTTGATATTTAAAACTACATATTTTCATTATATTTACCTGCCGCTTTAAGTTAACGCAGTCTTCTTCTCACATGAAAACTTAGCCGAAATCGAACAGCGACTGAAAATAACAAAAATTTCATGATGAAGTTGATGAAGAAGTGTGTTCAATATTTAACCCTGCCATAAAATCTATTTATTTTCAGAATCCTTTTGGTTTAAATAAATAAGGAATCAACAATCTGTTTATTCAGTGTAAGGATAATCATCATGTTAGACTTATTTGTCAACGAAAGTCTTTACAAATTACAATTAAGTAATCTATTGAGGACATGCCGCTCCATTCCCCATCGATATTTCAAAGCAAACAATTGTAAAATTGTTCACAGAAAGAAACCAGCCGATCCATATATTAAATGAGTAACCTAAAATTGAGTTAATATGTGCTTGTGTGTAAATGGCTTCTGTTGGAGATGGAACACAAACCAAGAAAAAGTAATTAGTTGTTCGAAAATATGCGCCTTAAAATTTAATAGACTCCTGGTGCGGCTTTGTATAGCATGTGTAAGGTCCTTATTCACAAATGAAATTATGTATAAGATACATTTGTTCGGCAGAATAATATACGGATACAGTATTGTTACAATTTTCTGTTAGAATGCTGTGCTCGATATGGATTTCACTTACCTCAAAATAACAAAATCAACATTAACCTGTCGGCTCAACATAACCTAAAATTGAAACAAAATGTAATTACATTAATAAAGATGAAAAATAATAAGTAGAATAAATGGATAATGAAATTAAATCACTTTTCGAAATTTATCAGTTGGCCGTTCTTGTATATCCTCAATTCATAGTTTAAACAAAAACTGCTTCAATTCGGAAGGAGAACACTCATCAGAAAGTTGTCAAGTTAGTAATTTTTTACAGAAAATAAAAGAAGACTTTACTTACTTTCATTGAAAATGGCTAGAGGAAATATTGAAAACTACTGATTTACGGTATCATCCAATGAAGACTTCTCTTAAAAACTTTATGTTGAATAAGAGCACAGTTGATACAACCTCCTTGCTTGAACGCCATTATGAAAATGAACGATTCTATTAACGCCACGTTTTGCTTAACATCAAACGATGAAGTTGGTGGTGTTTAAAAAAAAACACATAACTGTTTGTAAGGGTTTAGGCTTACCACATTACGTTTTTATTCCTTAGTGATCCCACATACAGTGACGCAGTATTCCTTTATTCAATATGAAAATGCATGGTTTGCCGACTTTTTACGAAACTTTTTAGGAGTAAGCAAACTATACGGTTTTACATGTATAAATACGAGTAAAACAAAAATAAAGCACAAAAAGAAACATATACAAATTACTTAGAATTTATTTGCTTAATTTGTTTCTGTATTATACTATTTCAAACGTTTCTATGTTATGTGAATTTAAATTTTCGTTAGCACGCTGTATTATTTTATAAGGAATGAAAGCAACAAGCAACACCGACGATTTATTTTCAAATCAAAACGTTTATATTATTCATTTGCTTTGATTCACTGCGTCAATGAAGTTCACCTCCTTGCTTCTTGTTTTATACTTATTTCTCTTTATTCGTTATTTTTCATTAATCAACCAAAATTTTATTTGCTTTTCAACTAATTTTCTTATGGTCATTTTTCATGTATTTATGTATAAACCATATATTTTCGCCCATATATAGATTTTCTTATTTTTTCTTGTAAAATAGCGTGATGACGCCGCTTTTTAATTCCTTTATCATTATGATTTTTTAACTCGAAAAGAAAATAACGTATAACTGCTTTAAGGCCTAAATGAAAAAAAAAATTTTGTTGTATGGCAACTTATTTGGAATAGAATACATAGTATACATGGTAAATAGTAAAATATATAAGCTTACAAATTTTGTTAGTTGGTTTTTCTTTTATTTTTCATTACGAGTAAATTTTAAATATATAAAAATGTTGGGCATTGAGTCACGTAGCTCAATACATAGGGAACCTCCATTGTCCAAAGAGTCACCGTCGGAAGCAACTTCAAGTGACTCAGGTGAATCAGATGATGAACATTTAAATAGCGACCGTCCTAAACCATCGAAACATTCGAAATCTGAAACTGACCGGGTTATAAAAGGATTAAGCAAAGAAGGCGACGTAGTGTCTGAAAATAAACCTAAGGTTCAAAAAAAAACCATAACATACAGTCCACTAATGGGCGCTGTGTTTGTAATGGTGTCGGGCGTGGTGTTGACCACCTTGTTTACTCCTGTGCACCTTATTTGGCGGCGTGCGTCTAATCCTAAAAACTGTTCTTACCAAGAACTAAAAATGCAGTATACAGGCTTAAACCCCAATGTGTGGATCAGTTTAGAATCTGGAATTGAAAATATATTGAATAAAGTTAGCTCCAAATCGGCCAACTATTTATTTATTTACGATAATGGAGATGTCCAATCTATAGTCAAGGAAATGGCTACACATGCCGCTAAGTGTTTTGATAATAGCCAACAGCTTGTTGAAATGGGTAAAGAGGATTTCAATTCTAAGGAAGCAATTACCGATTATGGAAAAATCATCGAACGGTTCAAAGCGAAAATTAAAAGTAGTAATGTAGTATTAATAGTTAATCTTAATGAGGTTGGCGATGTTGATAACGATGTATTATCTAAAAAGTAACGATGGTCTCCATTTACAGGTACCGGGAGAAACTGCAGAAGCTCTCCATTTTATTTGTGACACAGAAAATCCTCTTCGTGAAGATTTAGTGGTATTTTTGACATTAAGAATGCCGACGATTCGAAACGGTATGATCAACTATATATTAAAATATTTATGTTCGTAACAAACTTTATCGTCTTCTTCTCCCAAAGAGAATGCCCAAAATAAGGTCGAAAAAGAGTTGGCAAAAATGTGGAGTCCTAAATTAACGACTAATGTATTAAATGCTTTGATTACACGTGTTGCTGATTCCGTTATAAATCTGCAGCAAAAATGAGAAAAATGATTATTTTTAACAAAAATTTTTAAGAAATCAATAAAACTGTACATTTTTATTTGTTTAAACTTGATTTTGTTAGCAACAAAAGATATTATCCATTTGAGGTTGTTTCGAAATTAAAGACTTGTAGAAAAAAAATTTAGGTGTTGGCCAAATCAGCTCATTCTCATTTTGAAATTGAAATTCTGTGTATGTGTAGTTCATTCACAGAATTTCGTGGGTCCGATGGAACAATAAATTTGATTGCTGCTAGAATTTTGTTACAAATTTAATTTTAAAATTGATAGCTCGAAATTGTTTTTTTTTTTCAGATTAGGAATGTTAATCAAGGGCTCCTTCAAAAATTAAGGATATTTTTATCAACATTTTTTAAATTTTTATATGATTTTTTTCCTATTTCCCTCCCCATAAATGTACGGAGTTATTAGAAAATTTTAAAAATACTTTGTTTTTTTACAAAGTGTAAATATTTAACTAAAAATTATTATAGTAAATCACAGCTCACTGTGTTTATGACTTCGAACGTGATTGGTGTCAATTTCTTCCGTAGTTTGTTCAAAATGATCGGCATTTTCGTGATCCTCGATACGAGCCATTAAAGTTTTGATTTCGTTATCGTAATCTTTCCATTCTGGGACAATACGTTGGGCGGCAGTAAGTTTGGCTTCTTTAGTCAGTGGATTGTTGCATAAATCGATCACTTTAGCCGTTTTGAAAGCGTTATCACTGCACCAAGTTTGACACCATAGCCATTGCTCCGGTAACGATTTTATAGCAACTTGATGTATCATATTGTTAGGTAAATCTTGGTCTAGGTTTGCTAAACTATTTGGATCTTGGCTAAGAGCTTGGTACTGACCACGCAAACGGTCGCCGGCAGCAATTTTACGAAAACGTTTCAGATCGACTACATACAAGGCAGAAATGTGATAACGTCGTCCCATAAGATGATTATGCCAATAACCTTGTTTCCAGAAACGAAAGCCTTCCATTTCTTTACGTGAGTCACAGAAAGGTGTGTAAGCATAGGGTGCTCCAGCCAAGTCCATTTCATGCAGTTCCTTTAGATCGGCTCTTACTATGGCATCAGCGTCAACAAATATAATCTTTCGTACGCTCAAAGGAAACAAAACATCCAAAAAGAGTATTTTATAGCCCCATATAGTGCGTTGTTTTTCCGTTTGCTGATGCAACCAACGTGGCCATTTATACTGTACTAACTCATATTGAAAATCATATTCTCGGGACATATGTGGCAGGAAATCGGTAAATTGCGGTGATAAATAGTTCTTGAGAAACCAAAATTTTACTGGAGATTTAGTATGCTTGAGTAATGATAACATCATTATGCGCAGTAAACGTTCATATAAATGGCCCGAGGCTACAGAAAAAATATTAATGGTTTCCGTATCATCTTCATTGGATGTAATAGCACTACCGCCTGCACCAAAAGAACTAGCTATAGAATTCCATATACCACTTTGAGTTTGTGTATCGTCATCACCTAACAGATCAGCTTGTTGCATATCCTGTTTCTTAGTTACTCTTAATTTAATAACATGTGAACGTAAGGATGTAATTACTACTTGCGTATGACCATTTTGATGCAGAGTATTAGGTCCTTCAGTAAAGGTAATGTCGTATATATCCGCCGATTTACCTTCGCGCAAACGTAGCGTCCATACTCCCGGATTAGCTTTCAATTGAAAATAGCCTAAATTGGCCATAACAATCGTGTCCACTAAAGTGGGCTGCTCGTCGGTACCTAAAGTAATCTGCAGACCACGGGGTGGTGCTCCGGTGTTAGAGTCAAAGCAATGCCCTTCTATGAGTAAATATTCCAATTCGAATTCACTATGCACTGGACCACCAATTTCGCCAAGCTTAATATTATCCAAATCGTAAACTGAACGTACTGCTTCTACCAGCCAATTCTCGGGGACTTGCAAATTCTGTGTTAATAAAGGATTCGCGGGCACTCCCGTAAACTTTGCAACAGGTCCATCAGCGAGGCCACCATCGAGCGAAAATTGTACTTCAGGTTCTACCACATATCGATAGAAATTTTTTACCGGCATATCACTGTGCTGACTCACTGGAGTAAGGTAAACCAACATTTGGCAATTTAATGTGTTGCGTAGTAGTATTAGTATGGGAGCGAGCTTCTGGGCACTTCGTGATGCCGGATCTACTACAGCTGCAATATCAAAATGTGGCAAGTGCGTATGTTTTGGCTTTAATTTAATCACTGAGTATGCCTCCTTAACATTATCTGGGAGTTTAAATCGAGTTTTTGATTGCCTGGGTAATAAACATGCATATAATTTTAATATAGTATCGCTGTTTATGTGGATATGTTCTGCAGAATTCAATTGAGACTTTAAAACTTTACGTAATTTGTCCCCATATTGAATGGTATTAAAACGATCAATTAAACCAAAGTCTTCTATGCCAAAAGCTTCGTCGTCGGGCAATGGACCAATAATTTTTCCATTGGTTATGACTAAACGTTGTGAAACTTTTAAATTTAAGACATTTTTTGCGTAAACGCGTAGCATTTTCAAATGCAGTTCGGTAGAAGAAAGTATATCATGCAGACGGGCTGGAATCTCCGGTTTTTTATTTGGCTGTTTTAGCCATTTCAAAACTTGTTCTGTAGCTTCTGCAGGCGACATAGTGTGCATGGCCGCCCACACTAAGCGATTTAGGTTAGTCGTATCAGATAATTCCGGTCCCTCAACATTAGGCAAAAATGCTAGACGAACACTAGCAGCGTCTTTAAGAAAAATTAAAGCGTTCTTAAGTAAATCGCGGCTCATGGCATTCTTCATGTCCCCAAATAACCATAAAGTTACAAAATGCAATTGGTTTTGACCGATTTTCTCTGAAGTATGTTTACCCTCAAAATATTTTAGATTATGTAACAGAGTGGCAGTCATATCACGGGTAGATAGTTGGGCTAACGCTTTAACATTTTTTAGGTCAAGATACGGTTTGCCGGAGAGATCTAAATAGTTTGAATTTTCGTGGCCAGCCAAAATGCGTTGATTTAAACGAGGCATAACATGTGGTTGATTCATAAGATAGTCAATGATGTCCTCATTATCTGTTAATTCACCCTTATAAACAGCTTTTTGCAAAGTTGTAGTTTGCTGCATAATCTCTGAAAATGTAGCTTCTTCAAAGTCACTGTCTGAATTTAAGAGATTCGTGGGCATTGGTACCCCGTTTAATAAAGCTTGCGGTGTATCCGAAAATCCTAAGCGCTCTACAAATTCAATAGCTAACTGTCGTCCGTAATCAAAATCAGAATCCTCATCAAGTATCTCATCCAAAGCTGTTGCTGATATTTTATAAAATGTTTTTGTTAATTGCGAACGTATATGATGACGCTTTACTAGTTGTGTGGTTTCTACAGTTGCGAAAACATCCGTCAAGAAACTAAGGGCAGCTCGACTATTCTTCTGCTGAGTCACATAATTAAACGCGCAGACAAGAGAACGATAATCCTCCTCATCTGTACCATCACTAGGACGTATGTCAAACACCAAGCCTAAGCGTACAGGAGCCAAATGTATAATAAAACTTTCGGCTAATTTAATAACTCCACGACTGGACGGTCTCAAGGGGTCTACCAGCAAGACCAAATTGAAAACATTTTTACGTATGTTCCTTAACATACCGGGAAAGGTAGGCCTTAATAAGTCAGTAACACTAGACGGCCAGCGTCTATATTGTGAATCCTTTTCAATATCATTAATCCACATAATGGCAGTATCACGTATATCTATAGCAAAATCTCTAGAGCCAGGTCCAGCAAAATCCAAGGCTAGCAGAGAAGAAGCTAAAGCACCCTTTACTTGACTGGCATGTAAGCTCTCCAAAACTCGCACCTCTGACCTTAAAGATTCGAGTAATGAATTCAGATCTATAGTATCAGCGTCAAAGAAGAGACCATTGATAAATAATCCACCGTCGGGTGGGACAATATTGAGACTCCGTGCAAAGGTATCGATGTTGTGTTTTACCTCCTCTTTCAATTGAAAGGTTACCTTGTGACTTAATAGTGCTCGAGCCTGCATTGGAAAATTATGTGAAATAAACTGCAAAATTTGCAAAGCTTCCTCTCCTTCTATTTCAGCTATAGCCGCTGTGGCATGTAGACCTAAATCCTGAAACTCCCAAGCTTTAAGTTGAGCTATTTCCTCATTGCCTTGCAATAAACTTTGTCGTAACTTGTCCAACGAATGAGCCAAAGTGGGATAACGGGTTTTCAAGATAGGAAAATTAAAACCTTGAACTTCGGTTTCTGCAGTCTCCGTATCAAGCTCATTTTGTGTCTCCTCGGCTGGTTTAGGGGCGTCGTCTTGACTTTTATATTCGGTAGATTTTAAATGTAACTCTACGCCATAGCCGGACAGACGTACGCGTTTATTTACTTTAGACCCAATGGAAGTTAAATAGTGACGTGTTACATAGCGAACTCCTAAGGGGAGAGCCTTTTCAGCTAAATACTTGTGGTACTGAGCAAAAGCTTTTGATCCTAAGTCACCATATAAAATCGCAGTGAGCGAATTATTTTCAGATCCGGGATATATGTGATCAAAGCTGTGTAGATTTATCAATGCGTCCAAAGATATGTCATTATTTAGAGATAATCTCTTTTTTAACTGAGCAAAACCGCAAATTACTTCTTTGCCAATTTGAACAAATGTTAGCGCTTCTGGGCATGAACTTTTACTTAATACACCGGCAGCAATTTGAAATTGGGTTTGTATACGCGGCGTCAGACTGTGCATAGATACTACCAATTTCATTAAAGGTATTTGCAATTCACTTAAACGTGGTTCTAGTAAATGTATAACAGCGTTATACCGCTGAGATTCGGTAACTGAAAAACAGTTCGCAATACAGAGACTTTAATATATTATATTTAATATTTAGTGGAAATTACCATAATCACTTAAGGCAACATCCAATTTGGTCACATCGTCAATAAAATCCCAATATAAATTTCGATTTTCATCTGACAAATATTCGGCTATTTCCAAATGCAAGGGAGTTTGATTCCATTTGGCATTGATTAGTGTAGTAATTGGAAAGCTTTTGCTTCTACTTTCCGTTACACTATCGCTTCGGATTAATGTTAAACAAAAGTAAAACAGTAAAAATATTAGGAAAGCCCATTTATGGCTTGTGTTATAGTTAAGCGGCATACTCTTAATAAAACGTCTGAATCTTTTCAGGCTAGACACGTCAATGTCTGAAATTTTATAAATGTTCTATAATTCAAAAATGTTTAACTTATGTTCCTTGTTTAAAATGATAGTTTTTTCAATATGAATTACCTTTGATTCAATATTTGTTCGGTTTCTTCCAAATTTTTTTGCAACTAAAGCAGAAAAACTGATGTGGCATCGCACTATCGTTATAAAACTCCAATACTTTTTTCTGCATCAGTCGGCAGAGATGAGAAAAAACCTATTAAACATTAACTGAAGAAAAAAGAAACATTTCGTAGCAATACAAACAAATTTTACAATGTTGTAAAATTTCGTATTATTTCGACGAGCTGCATATCCATCATGTATCATGCATTTAAATGTGATGATTATACGCACCATACGATAACGTGGTACATATTGTTTGATACACAGCTATCACGCAACACTGCAGAATACAGCTGAATATAACGAACGAAAGCTAACTACCAGCTATGTGTTTATTCCCAAAATTACCAAAGAAATTTTTGCTGAAATATTTGCGTTATCTTGTATGTTAAAGCAATAATAATATATGTTTCTCTTTGAATGACTCTACGGGACGTTAAGACGCATTACACATTTGTAAGATACTTTTTAGAAAAATTTATTTTAATGTTACCATCAGACCATAAGGCACACCAAAATTCAAGTCCGAAAAATGCGGTGCCTTTTATAGCATTATGGAGCGTTTGCGATGCATGTTGTTTCTTTATATAAACTTGGATCACGAAAATATTTTTTAAAGGTAAAAAAATTAATATCGCGGCGGGTTTGAAGTTTCAACGTTAATGGAATTGCTCTTTAATAAGTATATTTAACCATTCAAATGTTTATACATTTAATTCTTCGTCGAATTGTAGATAATTTCATTCTAATGTTGTTGCAAAAACAAAACCTTAAAAAGTAAAGTAAGCTTCTTTTTGATTGCAAAGCGAAACAAATTTTACTGCAATCGTGTAATGCCTGATATGTGTCGAAGTTGTATTATATATTATATTATAGCAGGTAGGCAGTGCATATGCAGTCAATGTGTTTGACGCTTAAAACTTATTTATAACAATGGATTCGTAACTAATAAGCCTTTGAACATTCGTCAGTTTTTAACAATGCAACAACTAACGCCTATTTACAACAATTACAATTAAAATTCAAATTAAAGTTCAAATTCAGTTCAGTTTCATGCACTTTAGATATAGCGTCTAATGTACTGTACGTACATTCGATTGGTTGCGTTTCATGCATTGTTCATTACAAGTACAAATTCTTTATTTGTTTTTCGTTATTTTCTAGCGGAAACGATAATGCTACAGTGCAAGGAATAATATGGGCGCCACAGTTTATATAAAACTTATGAATTGCTTAGTATGACAATAAGAGCGAAGGGAGTTAGTACACTTTATTCAGATTCTTAACAAGTACTGTTATGTTATGCTGCCATATGTCAGCGCGATGAAGCAAAGCTTTTTATATACACAGCCCACCAGGTAACTGAAGGTTTTATCCGTTGGAGTAAGAAAAGCTTTTATCTGTTGTAGCCTTAGAACTTCAGTCTACAAATTTCGGCTATGTCGTCTCTAGTAAAAAAATGTAAAAATCTCGGTTTATCGAAAGTAGAGAAGTATTTTTTTTAGTAAATTTCACAAGATTTATAAATAAATAAATGAAAATCACAAAAAATGGCCACGAAATTTGATTCACAGAAAACTAAACATCAGTTATTCCATTTATCCATTAGTTTAGCAGTAGTATTGGTCTGTATGACTTCAATGCAATACAAACGAAGCTGGTCACATTTAGGCAGCTTTTGGAATTCCTTGATAATACCAATTGTTTTCACTGGAGAAATGCTGAAAATAATTCTCTCTCATTATTATGGGCATCAAGAGAATACTTTATTAACACAGAAGCAAAAACAAAAGAAGGCAAGTTATTTTACGCCCAAAGAACTGGCAGGTGGTCTTATGTTGCAATTTTTATGTACATTGCTATTTGGATTTGTGTGCATTATATTAGGGGCACCAGTGTTACAAAATTATGAGCAGACTTTTATCTTAGCTATGCTATTAACGTTGTTCTCCGTATCACCTATCGTTTTTCTATTGGGTGCGGAGGGAGCTTTGCAAGTGTGTTTTTGTGAAAAGCCAGATTTTCTCACCAAAAATGAAGAAACTGCTGTCGAGTTGTTTAAGTACAATGCCGTGGGCGGCATGTTGGGTGCCTGGGCCGGCTCTGTAGTAGCACCATTGGACTGGGACCGTGAATGGCAAGTTTATCCTGTACCAAATGTGGTGGGCGCGTTGTTGGGCAGCGCTCTGGCGAATATATACGCGTGTTCACGAGTACTCTATGCTACTGGTAAAGTTTATATTAATAAAAAACGATCTTAAATTTGCGATAAAAAAATTAATTTTCTAGTCATTCTTAATATAAAATCAATAAATATAAATTTGCCTTCAAAAAAAGATTTATTTTATTAATTATTATTTATTTATTTAAGCCTTAGCACTTAATAGAAATGTATCGTCTTCCAGAAGACAACGTTGTCCAATGTAATTATCGTTGACTTCCCACTGATCCTCTGTATCTTCATTAAAGTCAGTTTGTATTTCTGACTTTTCGAATAACTGGCTACATAGATCATTAATTTCTAAGAATTTTTTGTTAGCAAATTCATCGATCGCTATTTTCTTTTCCGACAAACTATCTTTATCCAACAAACTAAATTGTTTTGAATCTGTTAATGGGCACGAATTCTTTTCATAAAGGTATTTCAGTTGTACAAAATGTTGACCCTGCGCCAAGCGTTGTAAACCATTTTGGACGACGGCGGCGGCCCAGCAAACAGCCAGAGTACTGTGTGGTTCATAGTTCGCTAAAATTTTATTGAATTCCTCCGTAGTGATATTGAAATTAAAGTAAGTGGTTTCATGATTAGTTAAAAAGCTGTAAACGGCCGATAATTGTGGCATGGTGGGATATTCATTGGGAACGGCATTTGCTGGCATGACTTCGCGATACGAAAGTCGTTCTGCTAATAAATTCTGAAAGGAAGAAATGGCCTTGTTTTTCTCGTGAGGCGAAGGTTGCAGTCGACATTGAAAACTTGCTGACTTGGAGGATTTTAAAGAGCGATCTAGAAAAACGACGAGAGAGCATTTTTATTCGATTTAATGTAAAAAGATTTAATTTACTTGTATGTAGTTATAAATAATTTTTTTTTTTTATTTATATATATTTTGATTTTGGTTTTTGAATTTGAAATAAGGATTTTATTGAAAAACTTCGTAGATTTTTATTTATTGTCGATAATGGTTAAAGCTAATGTATCCGTGCAATGGATAAAAAAATGTTGAAAGTTTAATTACTTACCTCCCAGTAAGCCAGCGGAAATCTCCATTTGGTTTGTTACTAAAGGAAAACAGAATTTTTGAATTATTTATAGACATAACTATCGTTCAATTTAAATACCATAGAATTTTTCCTTGTTAAGTTGAAATTGCTCCGAGAGTAAAGCCAATGAGTTTATATATAATTCGCTTAGTAAGGGATGTTGTGGTGGAGTTTTATTATTATTACGTACGTTAATATTCAAACCAAGCTCACCGGTTTGACAGTTGCTAACAACACAACTAACTTCAGAGCAGAGACATTCATGTATTTGAAATTGCCAGTGATGACGAATTAAACGATATTTTAACACAGATGCCGGATTTGCTGGTAAAGCATAATAGAACATTAAACGCAAAGTAAACTCTCCTTTATCGTAAGGAGCCTGCAACCAAGCCGTTATGGAGACTGTCTCTTGAGCTTCGAGCGTTAAATGTTCGGATGATTTTGGCTTAAGCAAACGACAAACATGCTGGCGACGAATCTCTTTATCTTTAACCAGTTGTTCATTAGACAAATTTTTGATAGCTTAAACGGAAATAAAATGATGATGAGGAAAAAGAAAGCCAAGAAAAAGCGAAATTTACATTAACTTACAATTTAAAATAGACAGCGGTATATGGGTCTCTTTATCCTGTAATGTTAACCAGCGTGGATTATCACAACTTAGATATATATCTTCTACAGGTTTAGCACCCTCATTTCTTAATGTTATAGTAATGGGTATTATTTCGCCGACTATCAAATCAGCGGGTACAGATGAAAAGCACACACTTAACACTGGCACTGGCGGTATAATGCGTATATTTAACTTTTGATCATTAAGTGAGTTTTGTGCTTGTTTACCAGCCGAACGAAATGTGTGCTTCTCAAAAATCAAGGAACCTTTGAGCGCAATATTCGGGTCTACTATGGAAGATATTTGAGCGACAATACCTACTACCATAAGTAATCCGGTCAGTTTTGGTGTTAATTTAAAATGTAAAATTTCTTGAGCCCTTTCTTCCAATGTTAAGGATTGAGATGTAAAGGTTTTAATAGCTGCCTTAACAGCGGATTTATCTACAAGTAAAAAAAATGCAATTAATTATGAATTACATAAATGAACCAGAAAAGATCTTACTAGAATTATCGAAACCGCCTTCGTATAAACACATATTACTTAATTCATCGCCATTGTCCAATTTAAGAGACCATAACAAGTCCACATTGTTAAGCACAAGGCCACAGCGTATAGTATTTATTATGGTAACAGAAATAATAAGTGGTTCTATAACAACACCAACAACAAGTCGTATCCATTATCAAATAAAAATATATTACTCTCAATTAGATGAGAGATGAGAGTACTTACCGCCCTGCACGGCTATAGGATTGTCTGTGGTAGGATTCTCTTTGCAAAATAAGCTTCGCAAGGGTTTAAAAATCAAAGGACGATTCTTGGCTGTGGCTGCAACCAACATTTCCTCAATTTTATGCCAAATAAACTCATCCTTTAAATCGCTCTTTTTATTTGATTAAAATTTAAAAATAATTGAAAATAATTTACTTGCTTTCCCCAAATCAATGATTATCGCAGTTATCGTGCATTATATAAATGTAATATTGCGTCTACGAATAATAACGTATCGAAAATTCAAAAAAACTTCATATAAGTTCCGAAATTTTAATAAAGGTCTCAAAATACTTGTTTGAGCAATGCTAAGATCGTGACGAATTTTTTGCAATTATCCCAATGTAAATTTTTTTGCAACCGTAAGACAAAAGAAAAATACATTTCTTCCCTACAAATTATGAAATTATTAAATTATTAATTTCCATTGCGCAAATTCAAAGTGAGGGATAAAGTCAGGGATTCATTTTTATATCGTCGTCAAATTTACAATTATAAGAAACATATCAAACACTTGCTTAAAAAATTCGGTCGTAAATACTTGCGGATTATCATAATATTCTCTCGCTTTAATTTTTTCCTATCGCCGAAAGGATAGCATTATATATGTTCACATTCGATAGCATTTTAGATTCTTAAAATTTTCAACTGAACCCGCCATGAGAGTCACAAGTAACGTAGGCCAAATATATAAAATAAAATTTATGGAATCTCTAACGCATATCTTTTAATGCTTGACATAAAACTAGATTGATGATGACAAAAAATTTCAACTCATTTTAGTCCTTCCACTTTCTATGTTCGTACAGTGTACAAAAAATCGTGAAAATATATCAATAATTGTGACTTGCAGGCTGAACGCACAAATGCGTGGGCAGACATCAGAGATCGTTATGGAAACACTTAGATTTACCCTAAATATTTTTACGCTTACATGTATCCGCACAAACTTAATATATTCTGTATTATTATTATTATTATTAATTTCGTCAGAGAAATAAATTCTAAGACTAAACTCTTAAAAGCACTAGCATCTAAGGCTATCGGCTTTCATATTCTGTATTATAAATAGTGTAGGGTACAAAAAGAGGCACAATTTATTACCATGTCTATGTCCAATTTTTTATACGGACCGTTGGCAAGTGCTTCTTTTTCAAATAGAAGTGATACATTTGTCTTGCTGCAACTTTAGTTTCTCCTACCAGTTGTATGAAAATTTGTCAAATTTGTTATTGTGCTCGCAGGTCAGATATAGAGAAAAACCTAGATGAACGATACGTTGGTGTAGGGCGCCTTTCTTAATATAATATGTTTCATATTCATAAATATAAATGATGAATGAACGGAAATATCGGGCATGGTCGGGTTTATCAAAGATTTTCATTCTGATTAAAAATATCCGCTAAATGCTATTATCATATGTGTGTTGCTATGATTTAATTTTACATTATGAAATGAGGAAATCATCTCAAATTTGAGCTGACTTATGCCGACAGGGATAAATAAAATATCTTTCTGCTTTGAAGGATCGATGTCACAATGCACTGAAATCATAAATCCTATCACCTTCAAGAGCCGATTTTATAGCCTTGATCTTTTCCAGGCTACAATTGTTACTTAATTCGAATTAACATGATTAGCAAGTAAATACGTTATAACACCAATTAATTCCACACCAATATTCTTACATTTATATCTATATTCGAAGCTGGAACATGGTTTGTAGTTGGTGCCGGTGGCGCTAAAGTAAGAACGCGAATTGAATCTTGTAAAACTTGCGGTAAGGCGAGAGTTAATAAACCCATTTCTGGATGACGCTTTGTATATTCCTTAAAATCACAAACACAACAACAGAAAAATAAAATTCACAATTATTTGTAAGCGTAAGTTTTATAATCTTACGTTTTGCGTTTGTATATATTCTTTTAGAAATGATAACTGCTGTTGAGCTCCTTGTAAGCTACCAGGCCTTAAGAGATGAGCAAATGAACAGCTTGCCTCATCAAGTTTCTTCAACATATAGGCTTGTTTAGCCATTGTAAACTGTATGTGATCTTCGGCTAAACTCCAACCACGCTGCTGAAATACTTGATATGCTTGATTATAGCACCGATAAGCATGTTTGCGCTGGCCGGCTCGTGAATAACGATTTCCCGACAAAACAATTTGAAATGCATATTTACGATGCATGACTGGTGTGGAGACCAAAAAACAATACGCAGCCTGTTCTAGCAGTAACGCGGAACGTAAGTCGGACTCTTCACTAGTCATACGAATCAATTGTTTAGCCGCTTCACCATATAAACGGGCCGTTTTTAAGCACTCGATGCTTAATAATGTGGCACGTGTTGCAAATTGTTGCAATCTTTGGATATAAAAATCTCACATTAACAAACAATATTATAAAGCAATTTTACTTAACTTACTTGCACACATTCAAATAGCACGCAATTGCGTCTTCCATGTAATCATAGGTTTTGCGATTTGCTGTTCCCAGCATAAATGCGGAAAGGGCGGCCATCTCCAATGCACCTGCATAATATTGCCAGGCAGAATCGGCATTGAAGTCTCGTTTAGCCTGATGATAGGCCTGAAAGGCCATGTTATAGTGACAAAACATAAAATATAAATCTCCCAGTCTGCGCGTCTGTAATTCTGCCGATTCGTGGGTGTAGCTTCGGAAGATATAAGAATTATTTTACAAAAAAAAAAAAAAAAAAAAAAGAAGAAGAAAGACTATACTGCTTTTCGACCGAGACTTGATTTTCATGAAATAAATTTGTAGCGTATTGCATATTTATATCGGGAATAATTTGTATAAAATATTTGATTGCAAGAAACTAGGGATTTTAAGACTAACACTTGGTCTTTGTAGTTGATAGTTGTAGAAAAAGCGATTTCGGTAAAGGGACAGCCAACAGAGAAATAAGCTATACTTTAATCGCTAAGTCTCCACATCTTATTTAAATTCAATTAATCTAACAAACCTTTGGTCGAAGTTTTTGCTAAAATTTCTTTACATTTTACTTACATGACAGCATTTTGATTACTAGCACTGGCCCCCGGTTTGCTAGTAACAAACCAACGTTTAGTGGCACTCAATAATGATTTGCTTACCCCTTTCTTATTGGTTACCTATTTTGCACTTGAATGAATATACATTCATATACATTTTTAATTTCGTACTTACGGCTTCATTTAAAGTTGCCACCAATTGTTCCACATACGGTATTAGAGCGCGTACTGCGTAATCTTGTACAAAATGCCTTAAATTTTCCACGTCCATAGCATTCAAGCATTGACCATAATGAGCTTCAGCCTCCGTATCGCCTGACCAAACATTTGGATTAATGTTTTGTGAAGCTATGCTTTCACAGCTTATTGAAAACCTGGAATTCTTGTAATAAAAAAATCCTTATTTTATTAATAAGACAATTAAGTTTTGTTCACTAACTATAGCTTCAGTGGCATGCTCTTGCACCGGACTTAGAGGATGTAAAATGGCAACTTCATTTGCTTCGTGAGCTGTTGAGGGTTCACCTAACACACTCATATGCATATTAGGCATAGCCAGCGAAGACACGCCACTAATATCTTGTGGTGTTTTATTTCCACTTAATTGATCTGTGCTTGTATTACCAGTCACTGCATTGTCACTAACTTTAGGTTGTCTTTTAATGAAGGCAGTCCAATAGTCGGGTATTTCACTGGTAATCGTCCCATCCAGTGAATTCACTTGTATCAGAAAGCATTTCGAATCAATAAATGTGGATTTAAGTAATTCATAACTTTGCTGAGCTCTCGACAAGTCACCTTGGCTGCCTTCATGCAAAATGACATAACTGTTAAGCACATCGTTTGGCTGAAACCATTTGGGCAACTTTTGAGGTGTAACGCTTTGCATTTGATGTACGCGTTGTGTCAACTTTTGGGCCGTTTCTACTACGTTAGGATCTCCACTAGACAATACAATCAAACAACTCAATAAATGCCGGGTAAATTCATGGTCTGCAGGAAATTGCACGGCCAGAAAAGTTTCACGCCAATGTTCAAACCATGGAACACCATCTGGCAATTCCAAATTCACACCATTTATATTTAATACTTTAGTTTTACTGCTATGAGCATTAGTGACAGATTCATTAAGCATTTTACGTGCCAGCACTGTTTGTGGTGGACGCCAGTCTACGTCACAAAAGTTTAAACGCAAACCTCTTATTGACACGCTTGTCGCTAGAACATCGCGAAATTGCGCTAAGGTTGGAAGTAATATCGGAGAAAAATGCAATTAAAGTTAGAAGAGAAAAAAAAGTATACCACAACATACCATCATTTTGCAAACGAGCAAAAGGCTGCAACAGTTCAACGAAAGACAGATTATTTCGATGGCACACTTCATCGGCATGAAAGCTGGTAATTACGCCTACCAACGGCGAAAATATATTTTGTATAATTTCACGAGCGTTATAATTATGACCAGTTAAATGAATCATAGTCAAGAAAATTCGTGATATTTCTACAAAAACTTATTCATTCGCAGTTAATTCTTGCAATGCAAATTTTTTATGAAAAATTTCTAGATCAGTGTTAGTCTACTTTTGTTTGTTTTTGGCACATTCATCGGCGTTACGTTATTGTATACAATATCATAAGGGCGCAAAATAATTGAAACGGGCAAAGTTGGTCTAATTAATCGCTACTTACATTAAACGAAACATTTCAATTCGGTTGATTTAGACAAAATTATGACAAGATGAAATTTTAATAATTGCAACAATTATTGCAGATAACATTTTTAATTTGATATGGCTTTTTTGGTAGAAAAAAAATATTAAATTTAATTTATCATTGGATGAATATATCATATGTTAATGAAATGGATTCATCAAATCTTTGCATTTTTACATAGCTCGCCTTACGTCCATTCAAGGTGAAGCATGCAGGATAATAATTAAGATTCTTCAGAGATTTTTTTCTTGCTTGCGAGCAGATGCTAGCTTATAGAAATTCACTCTAAATCGCATTATATAGTTCCTCTTTTGCTTTCGTTTTACGATGATAATGTATATTTTCTAATCTCATCGGGTTGTATTTGTAATATTACCTCACGTTAACATCGCCTTACGTTTTTAATTTGCTAGAAAAAGAGTACATTAAGCAAATTTGTGCAAAAAAAAAAATGTATTTTCTTATTTACATTTGCATACCACACACGAGGAAATTTCCAAATAATTTATCTGAAAATAATGAATTTGATATATAAAACTTATAATTTTGCATGCATGCATTTGTTTTATGCAAACAAAAGCGCAATGAACATAATTCAGTTAGTTAGACAATATACTACAATTAATATATTTATATATACATATATACATTTGAAATGGACTAAGCCAGTAATTAATATAGAGCCACCGATTTTCATATGCATAGGCAAAAATTAATTTAACCGCTTTGCTTGCATCCTCACATTGGAAATATATATAAAAAAAAAAACAACAAAATTACGGGATAGGTTAAACAATTTCTGAGATTCTAAGAGATTTTCGAAAAATTATCAAAGGGTAATCTTCGTTGTCGGAGCAATCTTGAGATGATCAGTGAAGGGAGACTGGCATCCCGTCGCACTCATTTACGTTTGAATGTTTGATTGGATTATATGCAACGTTTTGACTGGCTAATTAGTTAATTTTTCTTTTTTGTTGCTACCACCATCGATCTCCGTGCCGCAAAAAATGTATGTCATCTCGGGGAATTAACTTGCTTTATTAGCGGAGCGAATTTTTCTTTTTAATTCATGATATTTTTTTTTTAAAACGTTGCGTACACTTAGCATATCGGCTTTAGTTATCATGACCGCAGTTTTCTTCTTATGTTTTATAAACATTTCTTGCTAATAATTGCTACGGTTTATTATAGGAACATATAATCAACAAATTTTATTGGCTTGATCCATCTTAACTCGAAATCCCAAATAAAAGTATTGCGTCTGAAAGATTGGTGATGGGGCGGCTTTACGGTGTTTATATTAGATTTCTAAGTATTGCCATAAATTGTCAGACCATAGGCAGTGTGATTTTGAATGGCGTTTAATAAAAAACGTGAGTGCAAGAACGTTGAGCATTTGCGCATTTTAGATTAGATTAACGATTTTTTATATCGTGTAAGCGTTTTCTACAAATTTTTTTTCATTTTCGTATTGGAATTCTAGCACCTGAGGAATTTAGCCCAATTTGATATGTCTTTCACAGTTGATTCGCGGATCTTTATTGTTTTCGCGTAGGGATAATGTTCAATTCTTGCGATACAGCAAATAATTCTACTTATTTCATTGGAAATAATTTGAGAAGGCATGACAGAAGGAGAAGGTCGTTGTGGAGTACTATTCATTAGGGGGAAAGAATGTAGAAAACGGTTGTTCGCTTAAACTTTAAATCACCTATGCGTATGAATAATTTGGTGTACTTGAAGAATTTGAGTCCAAAATTTCATGATATCATAAGACTTAAAATAACATGAAAAACCATTCTGTCAAACGTTTCTTCGGAACAGACTGAGAGAATTGAGACATGGTTCCGTTCAGAAATTCCTTTGATTGTCAAATTATTATTATTATTATTATTAACATCAGAAATTGAATCTTTTTTCACAAACTCATTCGTATTCGAAAACAAGGATACGCTGTAAAGCTGTGGAACTCATTACCACTTTGTATTGAAACGATTGTTAGACTGAAGACCTTCTAAAATTTATAATTTATTATCTATAATATACAATTGCGTCTACATCTATGCCTCGATTTACTACAATACTATAAAGCATAGTGATTGTCGATGTCCACACAGTACTGCTGCTCGTTTTATTGGTTACTTGCTAAGTAAGATTGATTCTCCTGCCGCGGCATCATGCTTCTTCCACGCTGCAATAATTTTCAGTTTTAATTTATGTTTACACTTTTATATATTTCTATATCATTATATTTGTTTTTATGTATTGAAAAGTATTATGGTGCAAGGAGGAAGATCGTATTGTAAAGATGAATAAACCTCAGTTTGGAGCATCCCTAATAAATTAAATTAAGTTTGTTATTTTAATGTAAAGCCAAGACGAACTCAGCTTGACATTTAAAAAAGTGATGATGTTTTATTGAAGTTTTGCTGTCGCCTATATTTATACTAATTTTCTGGTCAAAATTTTTACATATTTTTGTTTACTTAAAAAGTAAATTCTTAATAGTACGCAGTAATTTGATTTGATTTGATTGTTGAGCAATGCGGCGCATATTGCAATTTCAAGCTTTTTGGCATACGTATGTATATGATCATATCGGCTGTTGTAAAAATGCAAGTTAAAACTTTCATAAGGGTACCATTTAATTTTGTCTATCCCCTTTTTTTTTTGTTTTTGCTTGTTGAATACCCATCCACATCATATATCAAACTACAGTATATATTTATTTCTGCTATCAATACAAGTCAATTAAATATGGCTTATATATCCAGGTTAAAGCAAAATTTATGAAACTTAAGTGGCTATATGTGATCAGAATTAAATGTATGACATTGAATTTTAAGCTAACAAAAGTTTACATTTGAAGTTTGTTAGTAAAATAATTAATTTCTTTATTTCTCACCCTATCTGAATAATAAGTCATATTATCTGGACATATAAGCCACAAATCTATTGGTTTAGTCCATCTCCATTCAACATACCAAAAAAAAAAGAAGAATAATAAGTGCTTCATATAGAAACAAGATATAATTTTTGTGTTCTGTAATAAAAATTAGAATTATTGTAGACAACGTGATGTAGGGTATTGACCTATAATGTTCGTGTTTATTATAAATACAATCTAAGAGAAATTTTTCGTTCTAACTTTTATTGAAAATAGTTTGGAGCAAATTCGTGCAAAACTTGGGTTATATGGATTTCGTCTAATTTGACAAAAGTGTAATTAACAGCTTTTGTGCATACGTGAGGCAAGAAAACAAATCTATCAAACCATACTGAATACTGCCTCATACGCTAGCCGAAAAACGAAAGTGAAACCTAACTTTCAGATACGCGACCACCCCCTAGCCAATTTTGTGCGTTATTATTTTGGCAAGCATGCAATCATACATTTTTTTTGATAGTTTTATTTAATTTTATTTCGTTGCGTTATTCATTACTTGAAGAAAAAAAATACGTTCGCCGAAGATATGCTTTTTTACGGACATTTTCCTCCTGAAATTGAGAAACTTCTGAGAAGCATAATTTTGCATAACATATCTGTTTTATAAAGACAGGTAAGCAATATAATTGAAATGGAAACCAACACCGGTTTAACAATTTTGGCGGGAAGTTGGCAACATTCTAGAATTTTATCATATCGTGTGGTGAAATAATCAGTTTTTTACAAACGGAAAATAACATAAAAAGTATATTTTCTTCCAATTTAAAAGAAAAAAGAGTTAACATAAAAAATAGTAAGTATTTGCTCCGATATAACTATATGCAATTAACAACTTATCCTTCATATTTTTTACACTTTTAGAGTCTTCTTGTGCAGCATTCTTTTTAAAGGCTCTAAAAACAAAAGTACCAATTTGTATACTGCAGTTTACATGATTACTTGCATGCCTAACTGTGCGTGCTAATATATGTTTTTTTGACTGTACCTTGGTTGATTCCCTAAGTTGCCTGTTTGGAAAGAAAAATTATGGCTAAAGTTCATATAACAAATGTTGTGGTATTAGATAATCCTAGCAGTTTTTTTAATCCATTTCAATTTGAGTTAACCTTCGAATGCATTGAAGAATTGAAGGAAGATCTCGAATGGAAAATGATATACGTTGGGTCCGCAGAGTCTGAAGACTATGATCAGGTATTGGATACTATATATGTAGGTCCCGTACCTGAAGGCAGACATATATTCGTGTTCCAAGCCGATCCGCCAGATGTCACTAAAATACCCGAACCGGATGCAGTGGGTGTTACAATAGTCTTATTAACTTGCTCGTATCGAGGTCAAGAATTTGTGCGTGTAGGTTATTTTGTAAATAATGATTACGCGGACCCAGAAATGCGTGAAAATCCGCCATCGAAACCTATGTTTGACAAACTTGTACGTAATATATTGGCTACCAAACCACGGGTAACACGTTTTAAAATTAATTGGGACGACGCCGCCTCGAATGACTTGACAAACGGCAATGGTCACGACGCTGTAGAAAACCCTGATGATGACGATATGCAGTGCTCAAGTGAATCAGATGCTGTTTTAGCGGCTTCTTCAAACGTACATTTGGCTGCCGATAATACCACAGGAACAACCACATTAACAACCGTACCCGAAGCTACCATAGACGATAACAGTTTAACTATGCCTATAGGATGTGGTGTAAATGCTCTTAATGAAAACTCAAATTCTTTGGCAATGGAGTGCTAGGTATTCCCTCCTTTTTTTTTAAATGCCCAAGAATTTTCGTAGCTCTTCATATCTCATTCGCTTAATATCCAAAATTAGAACATATTTTTTCTTTCTTGAGTGAAATGAAATTGTTTGCAATTTCTCGATTGACAGATTTAATAGAACTTTTGAGTTGCCGATTTTCATTCTTTTTTTTTTAATGCCTTGTATGTCTAGAAATTGGCCTTAATTCACTCTCTGTTTTATAATTATTTTAATTCATAATTTAATAAAATCTTAGTTGTTTTCCTATGACCGAAATCTTTAAATTATTTTTTTGGCTTTACATCATATGATTTACATAAAAAAGGAAATGTATTAAAAATAAATATGTTTTTTTTTCGCTATCGTCCGGGCGACTATCAGGGGGTTTATGTAGGAAATGTTGAATCAAAGCGTTTGTTTTGTTTCATCCGAACTTGGGATCGCTTTAGTCTTTTCGACATTTCATATTAATATTTATAATATTAAATATGAATAAGTGGATCAAAATTTGATTTTTTTTTGAGTAAGAAGTCCTTTTTCAATGATTAATAGCGTGGAGGATTTAAAATAATTTATTTCCACTCTTGTAAAAATCAAATTTAATCATAAAACAGAACTTCAAATTGTCTCAACCACTGCCATGCGGTGACTGTATCGTACATTACGTCGGCACTTTTCGAGATGCAATGTAGGTACAACTGGACTCATGCTGCTGGTTTTAAATAAGAGAAATGAGGTTCGGGGAGTCTGACAGTCCCAGCGCAAAACAATCATTCATTCTAATGTAAAACGGTGATCAATATTGAATTTCTGTAGTTCTGATTGCTTTGACTTTTAAATTGTTACCATTGGCTTTCAATGGATTTATTTTATCCACTGCACTGTAAAGATCTAAGATCTGTTTCCTTCCCGCAAATCAAGTAAATCTATGGACAATTCTAAATGTTCGTAAGCAATGGTTACTAGTTATCGATTAATATTGATCTCTTTCATATTTTCAATAAAATTGGAAATGATCTTTAACTGACCTTTAGGTGAGTTGTGTTCGCATCATCAATTTTTAAGAAAATTTACTTTATCTCATGCAATGAATTGAGAAGCTGTAATCTAGCAATAATGCGAATTTAGACATTCGCTCGCCACCTGACAGAAGTTCAAAAGAGTTTGAATTTTTCCAGGAAAATAATGGGACATCTTTCTGAAATTTGGGGGAATTGTAAATCATGGATCCTTTCATATGCGATACGATTTATAAAGATACATTATGTCAAATTATGTTTTCATACATCTTGACAGCAGCTCATAGATTATGGATCAAACTGAAACCTAGTTTCCCACTTTCTTAATGATGCGGTATATTTCATTTTTGATCTTTGTATCAAGATTTAAATGGAGAAAGGCTTAAAATTGTATTTTATGAAGGGAACAATTGGTGGTTTTCATAAATTACGGACGGAATTCAAGTGGAGATTTTACTAGTTCTTTAAACTAACTTGAGGACAGTAGAAAAAAATGTCTGGAATCAAAATATTTGTCTTGGGCAAAAAAAAAAAAAAAAAAAAAAAATCGAATTGGGACGGAAGTTGGGTGAACAGGAACCTTATACAGTTTCCATAATACTTCTGCAAAAGGCGAAGTTCTCTCTACACAAATAACTTAATATATTTCTTCGATTTCGAATTTTCGAATTTTTAATTGCAAACCCTCCTTCCACATTCCACATTCTACATTTTAATAGACCAATAGACGTTTATCCCATCGTCTGATATATAATTTACGATGTGGGGAAATGTCCCCTTACGTCTAACTTAACATATTTAATATGCAATACCATATTAGTGATAGATATAATGAGGAGGAAGCATTTTTTTTTTTTTTTTTTTAGTTTATTGCGAAAGTTTGAAGGCTTATATCGTCAGTGACAGTGTTGTAATTTCTTATTCAATAAATTTACACTCTTATAAATTTTTTGGTTAGTTCTCGATTTAATTGATGAATCTTTTCTCAAGTTTTTGACTTTATTGATTTTTTAATACTTGGGATGAAGCTCTTAGATCTAAAGAAAATCAATAGCTGAATAACATTTCCATGTTAAGAAGGTTGATGTAAAATATGAGTTGTTCAATGACATATAACTCCTAGCAAGGTCTAAAAGCTAAAGAAATCTGCTGCTAACACAGTTGTTTACCCTACTTCTCAGACAATTTTTGCCATTTTTATTCATTTCGAAGGACGTCCATTTTGTAAATACGGTTCACTTCACGGTATATTTCAAGGAAAATATGGCCGAACTTTTGCTTTCATTTCCTGTAAGCTGCTTGGCATCATTGTGACGTCATATTTGTATTGAAATTATGTTGCATTCCAGTAGAAAGGAGAGCGAGGGTCAAGTTAATTGATTAATGGTTGAGCCCAATTTTGATAGTCCTCTGAACTTGTTGTTAATAATGGCCGCCCGAACAGAGTATGTAGCAACTTGCTGCCAGCACAATGCTGGGCTCTATTCGAATGGCTGCATTTCTTTTTCTACCCTTTATATCCTTTTGCTCGATATTTACTTGTTGGGGATTTCAATGGATTCATTTTCTGAAATTGTAGTATGAACCTCAGCTTCCACTTAATGTACGATATTTTATGCATGCGAAAATTTTATTTCCACGCGGAAGTAAGCACAAGATCAATATAAGAAGCTTGTTGCTTTAAAAAGTGCATGCGAATTGTTTTACAGAAGTTACCCGAGCCAAAACGATTTACTTTATTTTTGCCTTTTGGGTGCGCAAATATAAAAATGAAGTAACGATGAAATTCCATATTTAGATTTGCGATAATTATGATCGATTTTATTCAAATTAAAATGTTCGTTGGAGTATCTTTAAGAGATCTTATTGTTTGTGGAATTGAGCGTCGATACGTATTTATGTTTGTATATATTTATATATGCTTATGTATTTACGCTTCCCATCTAAGAGCCCTTGCAAATAATAATTCGTTTTGAATTTATTTGGGTGATTCCTTATAATTTTTATTATTTATAAATTATGTTATACAAATATATATATATATTTAATGTATATATATATATGTAAATATATTAGCAAATTATTTCTTCTAAAAACTAAAACATAAATTTCTTTTATAATTACAATTTTGAACAATTTAACACATAAAGTGATATAAAATTTGTATACAATGACAAACACATTCACATATTCAGGAAAAAAATTAGTAGATAATTACGAGGCCACATACACACATATATACATAGAAATCACCAGTAGTGATGAAACGGTAATGAAACACATTCTTATACGCAATATTGCTTGCAAATTTCATTAGCGGTACATTTCGTAACCGTTCTTCTGTGACGTTGCTTACGTACTCGGCGTATATATTCGATTAGATCGTTGACCTCCTTGAAGCTCAAAAGGCCTGCTGTACCAACACTTAAATCCAAATGACGGAAACGGTTAACGTTGCAAGTGCAGCCATCAAATAGAAAATAGTTTCTTATATCTTTATTCTTTTTATTCTCGCAACGGAAGAGAACAAAGTTGCCCCACGGTGTCATGACGAGGATACGATCAGCGGCGCGAAAGCCGGCACTTATCAATTTGCATAGACTATTATAACTGCCAGTTTCAGAGCCAACCACTACTATGTCGGCAGCTTTGGGGGCAAAACCAGGATACCGATTAGGGTTAGGAGCTGTGACGAAACGTTTGCTTTCTTTAAAGAAGTCTTCACATTCATCGTCAGCTTCAGTCGCCTCATCTCTGCGTTCGGCGCAACGTTTCGCCTTATCTTTAAGTTTTCTCTCTTTTTCCCTTTCTAGTTGAAGTAATTTTTCGAGGTCTTTTTGCCTTTCTTTTTCCATTTCCATTTGTTTTTCTTTTCCTTCTTTTAATAATTTTTCCAGTTCCTCTATCTTTTGTCTATCCAGTTCAGCTTGTTTTTGCTTCGCAAGGTCTTCTTCCCTTTGTAGTTCCTGTTCGGCTTTCTTTTGCTCTTCCAGTTCTGCTTTCAATTGTTTATACATGTCCATCCCAGCTTCATGCTCTGTGCGCTTTGTTTTATCTAATTCCGGTTTCTTATACGCAAGATCTCCCTTCGGCATAGCAGTTTGTTTGGCAATTTCCCCGCGCTTTTGTTTCTCGAGTTCTGCTTGCCTTAGTTTCTCCAATTCCTCTTTCTTTATCTTATCTGCTTCTGTCAGCTTTTGTTTATCCATTTCTGCTTGTTTTTGTTTA